AGATGTACTATTCTGTAGCAATGCGTATTCGTGAAATGCTATATCAAACCATTTATAAACATATTTTGATTTTGGTTTTTTGTCATTTATAATCTCTGATCTTTCTTCACTTTCCAAATGCTTTGATGGATCGTCGATATCGTTTTCCAAGTCATAAGATATTTCTGCAAATGCATCCTTAATATTTTCTGATGATAATTCAGCCAATTCTTTATTGTCAAATTCTTTGAGCAGTCCGGTAGGTTCTCCGAATTGAAAATTATCAGTAATGTCCAAGATATCTTCTAAATTTAAAATAGTTTCGTATCCATCATCAGCTGGTGAAGGGATTTCTCCTACTTTTTTACGAAGTAGTTCATAATATTTATCTGTAGGCAATTTAACAGGCACCTTATAGCCTTTATATCTTTCCATAAATTCTTTGCGAAGGTTTTCCATAATAGGTTGTTCGTGAAGCTTGATAAATTGATCACGAATTATTAAATTCATCCTTTCGACATCACAAGCATGAGTCCAATAACTGTCATGTACTGATGCAAATGTCAGTTGTTGTTCTTTACATTCTAACGATGTCATTAACATATGTGTTGCATCAAGTGAATGGATGAAATTTGGTGGAAATGCCGCACGTTGTTTAAGACTGTTTACTGGACTAGCAACATCAGGATCTTCAATACTAATATTTTGAAGATTTGTTTTAATTGTTTTACTTCCTAATTTTCTATATGGTTGTACAATGGGCAAATCTAATGGTGTAGTCCATACAACTGCTGTCATTTGATCTTTTCCGGGCTTACTGGGTGATAATTTGACAATACTTCCCTTTGGTTTATCATTATCATTATTATTATTATCATTACTACTAATATAGCCACAAGAAAAAAATGGTATCGTGAATGTGAAGAAATCCAAAACAAGATTCGTAACAATCACTCTAAACGATGTGCCACCAATTATAAAATTGATATTGCCACTGCAGTAAGTTATTTATTAATTTTATTTGATTTGATCTTATTAAAAAGATATAATCTAAATTAACGCAGTGTGCATATTTATTTATTCATTCATTTATTTAACTATTTATTTATTTTATAGTTTTTGGATAGGCCAATGTATTTTCCACATAGCTTAGATTTTCGAGGTCGTGCATATCCAATACCAACACATTTAAATCATTTAGGTGATGATTTATGTCGTGGTTTATTGCTATTTGATGAAGCTAAACCGATAGGTAAATCTGGTCTTAAATGGTTAAAGATTCAGATAGCCAATTTAGCTGGACATGATAAAGCTTCATTTGATGAACGATTAAAGTTCACGGAAGATAAACTAGAACTCATAATGGATTCAGCAGACAAACCCCTTACGGGGAAATGTTGGTGGCAAACAACAGAAGATCCTTGGCAGTGTCTATCAGCATGTATGGAATTAACGAATGCACTTCGATCTAAAGATCCAGAAACTTATGTTTCAAGAATTTTATTAAACAACTTTTATTTTTGTTTATTGATATGTATATATATATTTTAAAAACTAAATAATCTCACCTTTGCTTTAACAGGTGTCGGCCATTCAGGTTGCCACTCAGAATTAGAATTTTCTCTTTCAATTTTCGCCGTAACTTTACGAACTGCCATATTAAACAGTTTTCCAGATGAATAAAGTTCATGAACGTTCAATTTTTTTTGAATCTATGGATTTTGAATAGAATTATTAAATAAGTGGATGGATGGATGATGAATGGATGGATGGATGGATGGACGGACGGATGAATGATGAGTAGAATTTATGAAAATACCATCATTCTATTTTTCCTCTTTTTCATTTGTTCAGCATTATATTCATTTTCGATTGATTTACCAATTGATATTATCAGGCGAGTAGTTTTCATTCCTTGAATAACGCCGCCAGTACTTTGATTACGCACAAATTCTAAAATTGTTATTGCTGAAAGTTTATCAGCACTTAATAGTTGAAGAAACGGACCGTAGAGTTTGCGATCAACATCTTAAAA